CAATGAGCAGCTTCATGGTCTGAAAGGGCAGGGAAACAGCCCAATGAGCATCACTGCAGAGGAGCCAATCAGCTAGATGTTGCTGGGGCCGCTGTGAGCCAATCATCAGCTGGCAGCTGGAATTTTGCTGGGGCCCCTTTGGCTGTGGCTCTCAACACTTCATATAGAGGAATTGTGCAGTATTTTTCCTCTGTGATTTTTTTACATAGAATAGTGGTCTGAAGTTTTTTTTCATGTTGTCACATGTATCAGGATTTCCTTCTTTTATAGGCGAATCATGTTCTGTTTCAAGTAATTTACTGTTTTTTCTTTATCCAATCATTCATCAATGAATGTTTACATTGTTTCCATATCTTTACTCTTCTATATAGAACTGAGAATTAATAAGAGAATGAAAATATCCCTTTAAAATCCTGATTTCAGTTCTTTTTAATGTATACCCAGCAATTCCACTTTTAATTTTCTGAGAAAGCTCCCTGTTTATCCCATCAATTGTACCATTTTTCATTCTCATCAACAGTGCACATGGATTCTACTTTTTTCCATATCCTTGCCAACATTTGTTATAATTTAATGTTCCAATCATAGCAATCTAAATAAATATGAGGTGATATCTCACTGTGGTTTTGATTTTCATTTCCCTGAGAATTACTGAAGTTGAGTATCTTTTCTTTTAAAATTGTGCTTTTTTAGTTATACATGACAGTATATTTGATATATTTTATCTTTTTATATATTCATTGGCCATGTTTATTTTTTTTGAGAATGCTGATTTAAAATCCTTTGGATATATACTGAGGAGTGGGTAAATACGTAAACTTATGGTTCCATTTATAGTTTTATGAGGAGTCTCCATACTGCTTTCTAAAGGGGATACATCAACTTGCAGTTCCACCAACAATGTGAGTATTCCTTTCCCCCATATCCTCATCAACATTTGTTGTTACTTGTATTGTTTGATATTTGCCATCATCAGTATACTACAGTGATGTGGCCCCATCAATTTTGATAACAGCAGAAGTTACAGTATAAAGCTATGGAACAAACCAAGATGCTCCTCAACAGAAAAACAGATAAAGAAAATGTGGCATATATACACAATGGAATATTACTCAGTCAAAAGAAGAATGACTTTATGACATTTACCAGTAGATGGATGGATATGGAAACTATCATGCTAAATGAAATAAGCCAATCCTTAAAAAACAAAACCCAAATGTTTTTGCTGATATGTGGAAGCTTAACCACAATAAAGGAGGGTAGAGAAAGAAGAGAAGTTCAGCAGATTAGACAAAGGGGAAGGAAAGGAAGGGAGGGAAAGATATAGAAATAGGAAAGACATTAAAATAAATCAAATATTTTCATATTAAAATACCTAAGTGAATCCTACCATCGTATCCACCCACAAGAATTGGGCCCTAATTAGAATAAGATACATTCCATGCATGTATAATTTTAACAAAATGGATTCCAATGTCATGTTTAACTTAAAAGAACCAATGAAAAAATAAAAGAATGATGTCATAAAGTTTTCCCAGGTGTTCTTCAGTAATTATATAATTTTAGGTCTTATGTGTGAATCTTTCATCATAATATATTTTGAGATGATTTTGTGCAAGGTATGAAATGAGAGTCCAAATTTATTGTGTGCAAGTGGTTATTGAGTTTTCTAAACACCATTGTGGAGACAATCCTTTCTTCTTTCTGGTTCTTGGCACTCTACAAAGATCAGTTGACTGTATATGTTTGTACATTTATTTTTGTGCTCTTTATTCTGTCCATTGATATACACATTTTCTTTTATGCCAGTATGATGATGTTTCAATTATTGTAGCTTTGTAATTAAAGTACCTCTAGCATTTTCTTCTTTTTCAAGAATACTTTGGCTCCATATGAATTTCAGGTTGTTTTTCTATTTCTATAAAAATGCCATTGCAATTTTGATTGGGACTGAATTGAATCTATAGCTCTCTTTGGATAGTATAGCCATTTTTTTTCTACTGGGGCTTGAACCTACAGGTGTTTTACCACTAAGCTACATCACTTTTTTTTTTTTAATTTTTGAAACATGGCTTTGCCACACCCAATATACCCCTGAATTTTTGATGCTGTAGCCTCAGAATACTAGTAGCTAGTAGTCTACCCAAATTGCAATGACTCCAAATTTCTGGCAAGCCTAGAGAGAAAGTTATTTTGAAAATATGTATTTTAGGAACCTAATTTTATAATCTTAGAGAAAATATGGATGATTAAATTTGAATAGAGAAAACATTTAGATGGTCACACAAACAAATGAAAATATTTATTTGTTTCAATGCTGAGTTTATGGAAAAGATTCTTTGCATTTCTAATTTTAATATAGCATTTAAAATAAAGTAATATTTTAAATGAGGAAAAAATAAAAACCAGACCAGAGTTTTAATCAATTGATACTCATGCATGTAATGAAATATGCTTATTTTTATTATTTTGATTTTGCTTTTTGTGGTACTGGGGATCAAACACAGAGCTTTATATGTGTTATGCAAGTACTCTACCACTGAGCAACACTACTGGCCCTGACAAGATGTTTATAAAAACCTGTGTAAAATGCAATAAAGTAACCAGATGTTCACAAGTGTTTTCCCATGTAGGTCACTGTGTTCATGTTATAAGATCAGTTTTATTATTCTATATGTATAATGTTTGTTTCATATTTGCCTTTTTTCATATAGTCTGTGTCCTAGAATAGACTTTTATTTACTATGTGTCATAGAACCCTAGAAAGCCAGCACAAGAACACAATAAAGAAAACAACTAAATTTTGGAGTAAACAATAAGTCTGAATAAATGTCATCACTCCCCAAGTGTACAATTTAATAGAAACTGTAAAATGTAAAAAATGAAGCAGCACCTAAATTTAGCCTGTAATTCTAAGAACTTCTTAGGAAAACATACATTAAGGTAGTGTCCTTTTCTTGGATTCTTTTTTCCCCAGGACCTTTTCCAGCATAAGAGTACTGATAAATGTTTTGTCTGGGTTTTCTTTGGTGGTGGAGGGAACTGAGCATGGGGCTTCTCAAGGATTAGTTTGTTCATGATAAATCACGGCATGTTTTTTTTTGTCATTTTTTGTTTTGAATGTGGGAGTTAAATTTCTTCCAAATTTCTCAAAACTCTGAAGTGATGATGTCTTTGGGGGAAAGACTTCTAGTTGAGTCTAATCTCACAACATTTTTCCCTGCAATGTTTTATAGTTGACAACTCATTTTCAAATACATAATTGTGTAATACTTTAACATGTTTACTTTATTTATCATATTAATTATATATTTTGCACAGAATCTGCAGATCTCTGTAACTCTCTTTAACTGAGGTTTTATAATTATGATTCTGAATTCAGTTTAACACCTTCAACATTTTTTGGCACTAGAAACCATCAAAAGCCATTTTCTGACTCTCCAATCATTAAAACCATAATATTACTGAAGCAAAGGAAAGAATTCTTCCTGCTACCTGGGGATAATGGTACCGTTATGCTGGAAATTAATGGAGTAAGGATAAAGGCCAAACACAACATGACTTGGGTGTTCTCTTTGACCCTGTGATCATTTAGCACTAGACTGGGAGCCCAGTCCAGCCATCAACTTTGACTTTCCAAAGCACTCAGGAAAGTATTTATATCCGCTTTCCTAAGCAACATGATTTAGGGTATTAGTTTAAAAAAAAAAAATCTTATGATTCCTTTCTGCCATTGTCATAACCTCCTCTGATTTGGGGATGAACAGCATAAAGAAAATATCAAAAAATTTTAAATAAATAAGTACAAATTTTAAAAGAAAAAATCTAAAAATCATATTGATTTTTTTTTTTTTTTTTTTTTTTTAATCTTGGCACAGAGCAAGCGGGAAGTTACTTAGCACGGTTCCGGGTTTCCTCACGCCCCGCCCGCACTCTCTACCACAGCTATAAGCTCTTGGTCCCTTGGTCGGTCTATCCTGAGGTAAGCAACCCCAGTCCACCGGTCCCCTCTGGGCCCGCCCGCCGCGCATCTGCCCTTCTTTTGACTCCGCCCTGCATCTGTCCGGACCCGCCTCGAGTCTGAGCTGACCCTCTCTACGCGTCTGTGAGTCAGTCCCTCCGGACCTGCCAGGAGCTTCAGGCTACTGAAATCACCGCGCCTCACTCGGTCCGTACCCAGTGGGCATCTTGGGTATCTGGGCGGTCTCCGGTTCCCCGCGCGTTTGTCTGTCTGTCTGTCTCTCTGTCTGATCCGCTGCCAGCAGCTTGCCTGCTGATCCCAACGCACCAAGTGTCTAGTATGCCCTTTCGCTGACGCTGAGTGCAGAGCGGCCTTAGTAAGCTGCTAGCCTGCCTGAAACCTCGGCCAGCCAGGCAGCGGCGGAGGAATACACACTCGGCCCCTGCCCTTGTTGATAGCATTTTAAACCAACAGGAGCTCGAGGCCTATATTTATGCAGAAAACCGGTCTCAAGGCCTCTGTTGGCAATGCTAGATGTGGGGAACCAGCCAGCTGCTTGGTGATTTCTTAAAATTTAAAGGGGAAAGAGAATTTTCGTTACTAATACTGGCTTTTGAAACTGATTTTAAATCTGCACGGGTGAAAAATTTAAGTCCCCTCAGGGAGAACAGATTCGTTATTGGGGTGCCTTTTTGTCTGATGCGTTTGTTCTGAGCCTGCTGACCAGCTGTTTCTGAACTTCATTTTCTCAGCCTCAGCCTCAACAGTGATTGAGTCTGCTTTTAGCTTGCCTTCGCCTGCCTTGGCTTATTCTGTTCGTGAGCAGCTGTTTGGCCCATAGATTAGAGAAAACAGCCTTTTTTTTTTTTTTTTTTCTTTCCCAAGAGAGCCTCCTCTCTATGCTAAGAGAGATGGGGAGCGGGGAGCCTAATCCTGCTGGCAAGAAAAAGAAGTACCTCAAGGCCGCCCTGTACGTGGGTGATTTGGACCCTGATGTCACTGAGGACATGCTCTATAAGAAGTTCAGGCCCGCTGGCCCTCTGCGTTTCACCCGAATCTGCCGTGACCCAGTGACCCGCAGCCCCCTGGGCTATGGCTATGTTAACTTCCGCTTTCCTGCGGATGCTGAATGGGCCCTGAACACCATGAATTTTGATTTGATTAATGGCAAACCATTCCGCCTCATGTGGTCACAGCCAGATGACCGCTTAAGAAAGTCTGGTGTTGGAAATATATTCATCAAAAACCTGGATAAATCAATTGACAATAGGGCCCTGTTCTATTTGTTTTCGGCTTTTGGGAACATTCTCTCCTGCAAAGTTGTATGTGATGACAATGGCTCTAAGGGTTATGCCTATGTGCATTTTGACAGCCTGGCCGCTGCCAATAGGGCCATCTGGCACATGAATGGAGTTCGGCTGAACAATCGCCAGGTATATGTTGGTAGATTCAAATTCCCAGAAGAGCGTGCAGCTGAAGTCAGAACCAGGGATAGAGCAACATTCACTAACGTTTTTGTTAAAAACTTTGGAGATGACATGGATGACGAAAAACTGAAGGAACTTTTCAGTGAATATGGGCCAACTGAGAGTGTAAAGGTAATAAGAGATGCCAGTGGGAAATCTAAAGGCTTTGGGTTTGTAAGGTATGAGACACACGAGGCTGCCCAAAAGGCTGTGCTAGACCTGCATGGAAAGTCAGTTGATGGGAAAGTCCTGTATGTAGGGCGAGCACAGAAGAAAATTGAACGCCTAGCTGAGTTAAGGCGGAGATTTGAACGGCTGAGATTAAAAGAAAAAAGTCGACCTCCGGGGGTGCCTATCTATATTAAAAACCTGGATGAGACCATCGATGATGAAAAACTGAAGGAGGAATTTTCTTCATTTGGATCAATTAGCAGAGCCAAAGTGATGATGGAAGTAGGGCAAGGCAAAGGTTTTGGTGTTGTCTGCTTTTCTTCTTTTGAAGAGGCTACCAAAGCAGTGGATGAGATGAATGGTCGAGTAGTGGGCTCCAAGCCCCTGCATGTCACCCTGGGCCAGGCCAGGCGCAGGTGGTGAGAATCAGAATTTCAATTTGTTTCAGCCTTAGCTGGTGCCTAGTTCAGGCTCCTTTGTGATAAGGGGTTATTTTAAGCCAATTCACAGTTGTTGTTGTTTTTTAAGTGAATACTTTCTTTTGAAAACAAAGTGAAACTAGAAAGCCTTGTTCATTTTAGTGAACATAATTTCTAATTGTAAAATTGTCCTTTTATACAATTTTTGATATAATATCCTTAGTGATGTGTAGAATAAAATTTATTCCACATTTTTCCTGAACAGCCAAGGTGAGGCAGTTGATTGAGTATATTTCCTTTTTTAATTCAATAATACTTCATTTAATTTCTTCCATGAAAATGTTCTTGGCATTGTCCTTACTTTTGAGTCCATCACAGTGAAAACTTCTAACTTTCTGTTTGAGAAATCAGCAGAGCAGGGGAAAATGTTTATTGGAAAATGATCCAATAAACATATACATAATTTCACTTAAATCATTATTTAATATGAATATTCTTTTAGAAAGATGTGAGATTTCTTTTCTTCCCTTATTTATTTGTATTTTCCCTTTTAAATATATTGTGACTATATTGCAGAATTGGTAGTGGCTTTAAGTAGTGTTGGGAGTTCTGTATTAACTTCATGCCCTGTTTTCACAATAAGTACCTTTGGAAATTAACATTTTATGTAGTGGCTATTTAAATTATGATTTGCATCTTATAAACCTTTCAAGGAAGATTTGATATTCCAGGACGCTGTAAGGACCACTCTTATATTTCTAAATTCCTTAGTTCATACATAGGTAATGTTAAATTAACAAGATGAATAACTACACTAAATTGCCTTTATCCATAGATAATTTAATATTTTATCTTCATCTTTTATCAAGTGTCAATGTTAATATTAAATAATGTATAGAATTATGTTGAAAACTACTTTAAAGATCATATATTAAGCATATTATTATCCTTTGTAAATTCTTGAATGTATCCATGTGATAACAAACACAGAAGTTTCAAAGTTATGGAACAGGTTGTCTCTTGGTTTCCATCCATGGTGAGAACTATTAACTTGACACAGTTGTGTTTATGTCTGTGGCTGCTTGTAAATTCAGAAAAAATAATGTTTCTGTTTGATACTGATGTTACTTATGTCATGCAACTTCTAGATTACAAATTCTCCACATTTCACTTGCAGTTCCCTCTTCTCATTGTCTGCCTCCCATCCATATTGCATTTATATCGTTTTGATTGCCTTTCTTATGCATACCAGTTCAAATCCATTTGAGAAGGAGATAAATACCTAATTTATGTAAAATTTAAATAACTGTTTTTATATAATCTGATTCACTTCTACCACATATTCAAACACAAGAAGAAAATGCTTTGTTTAAATTGTTATTTGGTTCTTATTACATTATATATAAATCTTCATTTTCATACATACTACAACATAAATATATAATTTTATTAACACTTGTTAACCTTTTGAACTAAAAAGGTTAGAGAAAAAACTGTTTCTGTTTACCTACAAATTTAATGTGATTCATGACCAGGTATTTTCAAAATAAAAATCACTGGTTTTTAATTAGAAACATAATATTTGATCATTATAAAAATGTATACAGTGCAAAAGAAGGTAGTAAAATAATCACAATTTGGAGATAACCACTATTAATATTTTTAGTATGTGCATATCTGTCATATCTTTTTTCCTATGTATGGTCATGTATTTTTTACTTAAAACACTGTACTACTTATATTGTTTTAAATTATAAACTGAACCATAATCATATTTTCATGGCAATAAAGATCAATTTATATTAATTTAGTGATTGCATAGTATTCCATTGTGTGGATATACTATAATGTATATAAAAGGTTGCTGTTGAAAAAGGTTTATATGTTTTCAATATTTTTTACATTTATAAACAATACCATCATGAACATCTCTTTCTTAAAAACATTGTGAATTATATGTGTTAAGAGAAAAAAGTATCTCCATGATGTAAAAGATTAAATCTGCTAGCAAATTAAAATGCACATCTTATGTATCTATCTAACACAATTTAGGAAAAACTTTAATATATAATCTGCATTTAAATTGACAAGTGGAAATCTATAGAACAGGAGACAGTTTTCTCATATGTTACGAATCTAGTTGCTTTACATTATTGTGTTCATTATGACATTCCAAATAAAATTTTAAATAGTTACATTGGTAATTATCACATATTCTCTCTGTTTCTTTATATATAGTACCAGTTTTTATTTAAACTTATAAACGTAAAGTATCAGTGTTAGCTTCCATGTTTTACAAATGTTTTGATTCAATATAAATCTAGAAAGATGTCTACAAAGTGAAAATGAACAAGAATAAGTATTTAATGCAAATTTTGGGGATTATGTATTTAAATTATTTCTATTTTTCAAAGGTCAGACTGTATTAAAAAAAAAACAAGAGAAATTAAAATATGCCAAAGTCCTGGTAAAATCCTTGTGTTTATGTCCCTGCCAAACATTTGAATAAAATCTGTAAATTCCCTTGGTGAAAATCAGAGGGAAAATATAAATGAAATTTAATCTTCACAATTTTTCAATCTTGTGTGTTTTATTTTTGCTGACATTTCATAGACTATAAATAATTATACCAAGATTTAAAAAGAAATTTATTGTTTATCTTTTTTCTAGTACAGTTAGTAAAACTATACTGTGAATGTTTAGGTTATGAATGGACTGTATAATATGAGTTTTATTGTGCTTATATTTTTGAAACAGTCACCTGTACAAACTTTAAATAGCCCCATAGAGAAGAAAAGTAAGAATATTGTGATTGAAAACCTTCATCATCAAGGTTATTTGGGGGGGAGGATCTTATGTACATGAAGTTTCACACATACTGGTCCCAATGTAATATCCATGATTGAGGGGAAAAAGGTGTTATATGTGTAAGTGATATTTTTAGTACAGTGTAAAAAGGCAAGAATACATATTTCTTTAAGGAGAAACTTGGAAATTGAAAAAAAAAATACTATCTTCCTTGTAAATAAATGACATAACTTAAGGTCATTTATTTTAATAAGTAATGATAAATATATCAATAAATGACTGAAGATAGGTAATAGAAATGTTCCCAGTACCTATAAAAATACTTGAAATGTAGTAGGAATTCCACACATACTTGTTGAGTGAATGCATTCATAATGTAAATTATATTCCTCCAGATGTAAGCTTCCTAATTTTAATTTTAATATGTATCAAAGTAAATGTGTTATTATACAATATATGATATTATTAAATATCCTATGAAAAACTAGTTCAGAACTGATTGGTCACATAGACTGGTGCTTATGCATAAGGTCTTGGCTATGTGGACTCATTTATATGATGTTAATGTTTTACTAATGCGTTCATTCTCATGTTCTTTTTTTTGTTTTTCATTTTTGTCCAATTCTTGGTCGATTTGCCTGTCTGAAACACAAAATTTCTAGTAATTGTCATAGCTTAAATAAAAGTTTATATATGGAGTAACACTTTTTTAAACTTTTTATTTTTTGATTTGAACACTTATTTAAAATTAATGGTATGTTGCTTTAAGACCAATATTATTCTGCACAATCTTGCTACTATGTTGAACAATATGACCACAATTATCCCTGAAATATTAGTGTTTGCTCATCTTTAATGGATTCTTATACATTTCTGGATGCTTTTTATTGACCCTGAAATGTAACCTAACAAATGGTTCCTTGGAGCCTCAAGAGGATTAATCCATCCCTAGTGGCTCCAAGGGATCATAGTATTTATAAATAATATGGCCACCATTGGAAATTTGAGGAAACAAAAGGCTAACTAGATAAAAGTACTAATACTAAATATATAATTCTTATTAATTTCAAGTACTTTCACCCTCAAAAGTTCACAGTCAATTTTTAAATAGCTATTAGTTGGCACACACAAAAAAAGAGTCTTCTCACTAAATTTCTCATCAACAATTTGGGGTCTTCACAGTTTATTTCATTTTTTAAAAAAAGTATTCACAGAGTTTTAGGGAAAATATAGGAAAAGGGGGATGTGTGCTGATATTGTATAGCACAACTTTTACAGTCATCGGAGTCAATTTTTTCTTTGGTTTAGAATTAATCAATAAGTGAAACACCAGATGTTGAGACCATTGAATTAAAAATAAGCATTCTATACTGTTAAATCAATAATTTTATATTGTTTGGGGATTCATTTATAACTTCTAGAAGGGTAAATTATGTTTTTGAAAGATCAAGGAGTTTATATATCTATCTGTGGGGCTATTTAAAAGAAATTTTAAGCTAATTTACACAAACTGGTTTTTTTAGGTTGTGTGTCTGAGAAATTTGGGCAATCTAAATACATGCTAGGAAAAAATACAGAGAGTAAATTGCATGCTATTCTTTTCAGTATTTCAGAATTCCTAAGCCATGTCAATATGTGGTTTTATTGCACAAAAATTTGTTCTTGAATAAGGGAATAAATACCTTATTGTAGTCTTTTTGACAGAGGGTGGTTTTATTACATTATGATGCAGACATTAACCAAGCAGTGCAATTTAAGACAAAATTGTTTCCTAAAGAGAGAAAGAAAAAAAGTAGAAAACAAAATTTTGTTTGTTTGTTCATTATAGAAATGCAAATGTGGAATATTTGTAAATCAACTCACCAATAACTGAGAGAAGGGGTATAGAAAAATAGTAATGTACGTGTTAGAAATGTAAATGAATACTGTAAACCATTAAAATTCTGCCTAGTATGATATTGCTTTAAGGTGAAGCATCACAGTTTGCATTCAATTTGTAATCTTATCATTCATATGACTACTACAGTGATATTAAACCTCAGGAGTATTTCCATTGTAAGTGAGTTTTCTTAAAGAATTGTTGGTGCTAATCAACACCCCTCTACTTTCTTACCTCCATTCAAACTGAACCCCACCCTTGCAAATACTCAAGATTATGTAGGGTATTCCTGGTTTATGTAATTTGTCTAAACATCAATTCCAAAATTTATTTGTAGCTATTAGATGTGAATGTTTATGACACTGTGCAAATTTGTTAAGAAAAAATTTTCAGAATTTGCATGTTAAGCCACAGTAGATGGTGGAAAACTTTTCTACTGTTTCTATATGAATGAATGTATTTAACTGAAGATACGCTTTTCCAAGGAATGTACATTTCACAATGATGCTAATTAAAGCAACAACAAAGCTATGGGGTCTGGAATTGTGGTTTCATATAATGATCTAGAACATTTGAATTCCAAA